TTAATAAATATAATCACACCCTGTCCTTTAATAAATATAATCATACCCAGTCCTTTAATAAATATAATCATACCCGTCCTCTTTAATAAATAATAATAAATATAATCATACCCAGTCCTCTAATAAATATAATCACACCCTGTCCTTTAATAAATATAATCATACCCTGTCCTTTAATAAATATAATCACACCCTGTCCTTTAATAAATATAATCATACCCAGTCCTTTAATAAATATAATCATACCCTGTCCTTTAATAAATATAATCACACCCTGTCCTTTAATAAATATAATCACACCCTGTCCTTTAATAAATATAATCATACCCTGTCCTTTAATAAATATAATCATACCCAGTCCTTTAATAAATATAATCATACCCTGTCCTTTAATAAATCATACCCTGTCCTTTAATAAATATAATCATACCCTGTCCTTTAATAAATATAATCATACCCTGTCCTTTAATAAATATAATCATACCCTGTCCTTTAATAAATATAATCATACCCTGTCCTTTAATAAATATAATCATACCCAGTCCTTTAATAAATATAATCATACCCAGTCCTCCTAAACACTTGAGCAGGCACAATCAGAAAAAAATACCATCAACTAAGCTTGTCAGGGATTGGCTAGTGCAGCAAATCTTAGGCTGGCTGGGATTTGTCACTGGTGGCAATGCATAAATATCAGCTTACTGTGTCAAAAGGGTTCAAGACAGTAGTTAATCTACCTGGATTTCTGAAACATTTTTTTTGGGTTTTAGGTAATGTAAGCTTGCTTCTGTTGGTAAACTATCATTTCATTACAAATTGTTAAGTGTGGTATGTTCTAAGAATACATTATTGATAATGATCTTCCAGACAATTGGTTTATGGCTGTAGACTTTTATTATTTCAAATGCATTGATACATATTTAATGTGATCACTCCAGGATAATGGTGCCTAATGATTGTACACAAAAGGACAGTACTTTAGAATGGAAGTAGTGGATAGTTACACTTGAGAAGAGAGAAAGTAGATGTTTGTATCATAAGAGAGACATAACAGATAAGAATGCTGGAAGAAATAACCTGGATGAATTCTTCTTCTTCGCGCTCACCAGCTGTAAACTCTGGCGGGAAGTTCTGGTTGTTCATCCATTTCTGGACTGCAGTTCCTGTTCCAGAACCTGAGTGTTTGCGTATGCATCTGTTTTACAGATCTGACTCATTTGTATGCAGACTGCTGGTTCCTTGCCTCTCAGGCACATGCACTCTGACTTTGAAGGAAGCTTTCAATTAGTCGACTCTTACGACATGCTTTTGGGTAGGCAATGAGTCTTTTCTTGTTTTCCCAATAATAGGGCCACAGAACCCAAACGGAGAGGATTAATATAAAAAAAACAAAAGAATATGCTGCAAAAATCTAACAATCGGATCACAATAAAAGAGTTGCATACTGCAAAAATTCAATAACAGTATTATAAAATACTGTTTTATAGCATTTTATAACAGATAAAAAAACAGATAAAAAATGTGCTTATTGCAAGATTGTAATAAAAGATATGTAGAAATAAAAAGATTGTAAGCAAAGAAATGTAGAAACAAAAGATTGTAATGAAAGATATGTAGACTGCAAAAATATGATATGATAAAGATAAAACATAAGGCTACTGCAAGAATTTGATTACAGGATTAAGATAAAAGATAAGTGTACTGCAAGAATTTGATTTCATGACTGAGATGAAAAATGAACATATACTGCAAGAACGTGACTACAGGATGAAGAGGAAAGATGAATATGCTGCAAGAATGTAATTACAGGAATAAGATAAAAGATTAAAATACTGCAAGAATTTGATAGAAATATTGAGATAAAAAGTATACTACAAGAATTTGGTAACATGATTGTACTACCCGAGATAAGCAGTAGTTGCTTTTAGCAATAAAGCAAGCGAACTAAAATGCAGGAGACAGACTGCTTGAGACAGAATTCAAATTCAGCATGTAATGTAGAGTTTATTTTCACTGTTCAATAAGTCTTTTCATTTTTTACCTGTCAGTCATTAATCCATCCGAATCCATCTCATATTTGCACATGTTTTGTGTTGTTTAATAATTTATTTGGGATAATACGAAAGCATAGGATACTTTGTGATTGTTTCTTGATTGATTTGGAAATATTTAATAATTGTACTTTTTTTTTTTTACAGTTTGTAAATATTTTCAAAATATGGCTGTGTATTCTTTCCTACTTTTAGATTTTTGTTGTTGTTGTTTTGTTTTAAAGCGTGTCCATTTTGCGTTTGTTGTTGTTGTTGTTGTTGTTGTTGTTGATTAAGTTAATACCTGCTTGTATGGAAAATCAACATGTAATAGGTTTAAAACATATCAAGATAAATCACAGAAATTTATCCAGAGTTAGTTGTTTGGATGTTTTAATGACACTCCAGTTATCATCATGGCTGGTTTTGTGTGGGCATAACTCAGGATTTTATTTGATGAACATTTCTGTAATAAAATGAAATAAATATTTGCACCTTGTTTTTATTTTATTTTTAAATATGTGTCGGTGAATCTTCTCCTTTAAACATAAATGATTATGTTGTAGGTATTTGAGGAGTGACTGGATGAGTGGTTGTAATGCTGGGTTCTTGTGTTGGAGAATCGAGTTTAAATCCTCAATAAAGTAATAGACATTCTTCTGTTGAGGGCCCAAAAAAACACAGCAAAATTCCTGACTTGTACAGTTCATAGCCATGTAGTGGTAAATCCTCAGACTCAAGACATTGGTGCCCTACACTGGCATCAGTCAATCAATCAGGGGCCATCTTCACTGTGAAGGTTGGCTGTAGTGGATCTGCAACACTCTCTGTCTCTTGTCCTGGTTGTCTGGCTCACTACACTCAGAGGAAAGGCAAGACAGACATATAACCAGATTATGACTGGAACCATTAGTATTAGAACTAGCTGCTGAAGATGAGGATGGAGCACGCATGGGAATGCCCCATGCTGTGATGTTAATTCTTGACTCAACTCAGCTGTCCTGGTTGTACTCTGTCAGAATGATGTTTATCTATCTCTTGATGTTGTTCCCCCGCTTGGTTCATTGTCTACCTCTTGATCTCTTTCTTTTACTTTTTCCTCCAGTATAGTTTTTAAAAGAGTGTTTTGTTTTTGTTGTGGCCTACAGATTTCAGTTGTCACTTTCTTATTTATTTCAGCTCCCTATGTGTGTTCCGGTTTCCCCATTCTGGGGAGAAAACATTAGACTCATTGCTTGTCTAACTAACAAACAAACAAAGTTAGTTGCACATCCTTTACAGGACATTACAGAACCAACCCAAGCATTATTTGGCTGTTATTTGTTTTTCTAGGCAAATTTACCTTCAGTTGTTTGCTACCCTAACAAGCATTTTGTAAAAGTTGACTAATTGTCTTTCTGTCAAAAGAGTACATCTGCCCGACAGGTGAGACAGCAGCAGATTGCATATAAATACGCCAGATTTGTAAAGTGGATGTGCATGCAAAACACAAGTGCTGGATCAAAACAAGACTAAAGTCTAGAAATGAATGAATGATCAGAATTTTCTGCCCTGAGTTTACAACCAGTGAACATGAAAAATTCTTTAACTCTGTCTTCAGAACCTCTTATTTGGTAAACACTGGCAGGGAAGGCAGTTTATGAAAGTATTTTAAAGGTTGGAATATTTGAGCTCAAGTTGGAATATTTGAGCTCAAGTTGGAATATTTGAGCTCAAGTTGGAATATTTGGGCTCAAGTTATAGAAATATCTGTAGACGGAATAATGAGATCAAGTGTTGTAAAATGCTTTCATCGTCATCAAATGCGTTACCAAAGGTAAATGTATTCTAATAGTGTTTAATGCTGTGAATGAATAAACAAACTTTATTTTTAAAGGTTTAAGAACTAGGGCAAGAAACAGATTATAAACATTATATTCATACCAACATTGTGCTACCAGACTTGGACATTATCAAAGGCTAGCCTACGTAAAATTAACACCTGTGAAATGAGATACCTGGGAAAAACCGCCGACTTAACCATCCGAAACAAAGTTAGAAATTATATTATCAAACTGTTGGAACAACACTATGCAGCAAATTCATTGAGAAACAGAAGATGAAATGGTTTGGTCATTTAGTAAGAATGCAGCCACAACAACTACCAGCGCAATTGCTACATATAAAAAGATCTGAAGTAAAAGTAAGAGGCCGCCCTAGGAAAATATGGACTGATGGCATTAAAGAGCTTCTAGGTCGACACAGAATGACAATAGCCAGTGCTGCCCATCAAGCAATGGATTGCAAACTGTTCCTCCCCACAACGCTTAAAGGCAGAAGAGGAAATTGATGATTATGATGAAGAATTGGGCATGCAGGCCTTTTGGCCTCACTGCTTACATACATTATACCATTCATACATCAGTTAGCATACACATAATACACAGTTGCTGAGATGTGCTCTAATGCCTACATTTCTACACAATAATAATACTAGGTAGTCATGATCATCATCATCATAAACCTCTTCTTCCGTTACACATCATGGGGAGGAATCATTTGGGAATCGGGTACGCGCTGGCTGACACTGGCTATTGTTATGCTGTAAAGTGCCTTTAATGTTGTTGGTCCATATTTTTGTGGCCATCCTCTTGCTTTTAGAGCTGATCTTCTATAATATGTAGTGCCTTTAATAGTATTTGTCTGATAGTATCATTATTCAGTCTATCTCGGAGGGTTAGGTTGGAGGCTTTTTTCATCTTGCTATTAGTAAGTTTGCATAAATGGGCTTTAGATAATGTCCATGTTTGGCACTGGTAGCTCTATGTTGGTATGAAAATGCTGTTCATAATACCAAGTATAGTAAGTGTAATAAATCTAGGGGGAAATTTCTAGGCCATCAGTATGATGTGGGATAGCCAGTTCCCTCCCTCATCACCTGTCCTTCCCATAAAATTCAAAAGTATTATCTAATAAAATTTGTTGAACATCTTATTTCTTAGGATCTCTTTTGACACCTCCCCTTGGTGATGGGAATGGCTTCCCTTGTTTTGACTTCTGGGCTATTGGAGGAATTACATTTTGTCTGTTTATGTTGGCACCAACGGGTGGATTTAGTGTCTGAACAGATAGGCTGCTTGTTGTGTTCAAGCGTCCTCGACCCATACCTCTTGTTGTGGAGTCTGCAGACAGGAACACACTTCGTTTGGCTTGATCTGATGCAGGATAGTGTGTATGTAGCCTGGCCCTTGTGGCATTGTAACTTGGTTGTAATTCAACATTTTTCTGATTGCTGGGAGTGAAAATTTGACTACTTTCTCTCTGAAGCTTTGGTGCCTTTTTAAAATCTTTTGGAATTGCTGGTAATTTCTGTGTTTGATTCACAGTGGTAAGAAATACCTGTTTTCTGTTACATATGTTTTCAGATGCCTCATCTACAGCCAAATCTTCAGTGTTGTCCGCTGTTCTTTTGTCCCCTCTTTGTTGTACTAGAACCGTCAGTTGATTCTTTATATAATTAAGTTCGCTGCGAATGCCACTGTTTTGTTGCTTGAGTTGTTGCATCTCTTCATTGTTTTTTAGCAGCACCTTGGGAATAGAATAAGACGTTTTATGGAACACTGGAAAGACATGCAAGGGATGCATTCATGAATTGTTTTCTATTCTACATCATTTGCGTTAAGTACAAAATCCATAGAGCATATTATTTCAATGCAGGAGTAAACTGTCACCCTAGTATTGCCTGCCTGCTAGGGAAGAGGCAGAGGATGTCCTGATGGAGTCCATACGCCTGGCACCGAGCCACCCGCTAACAAGACATTCCATGTTCACGATTGTGATTTCCCATGCCTATAGGCACGTAGGTCCACCCACCTCCGGCTGTAAATATACAGTCCTGACAACTGAATCACGGTACATTTTGGAGGAGTCCCCTCGAAAATAGGTTAGAGCAAGCGTTTTCATGTTGCATTGTGTGACATTTTAATTTGCCTACAAAGTCCTGTGTTCTAAACGTATTCGTATTACAAATCTACAAGCGGATATTGTGAAGTGGATATACAGCTATTTTAATTTTAATTTTAATTCACGGAAGACAGTCGTGTTGTGATGTGTGTGTCACTGTTTCTAGTCAGTAGTTTGGACTTTTGGGAAATGGCTGTTTATTCTCTTTCTACTTTAAATGTAGAAATCTTACTTTTGGGGAAAGTACAAACAGGTAATTTAGAAGCCATATCTGGAGAATATTGACAGCTGTCAGGTGCAAACTATCTTGTGTTGGAAGAAAACTAATGCTTTCATATTGACTGTGCATAAATGGTGCAACCACACTGTGGATAAATTGTGTCAAGATATTTTGGAGCTCTAGGTAAGTGGATGAAAATAATATTTAATTTACTAACTAAACTCTCACAGCAAGGTCTGTGATAAATTTTGTAAACTGGCTTTTGCTTTGCTTTGCGGACACTGGCTGTAAACTCTTGCGGAAACTTCAGGTAGTTCATCGACTTCTTTTGCATATTTGCAGTTGTACGGTCTGTGTTAATTTTTGTAAACTGGCTTTTGCTTTGCTTCGCGAACACTGGCTGTAAACTCTTGGGGAAACTTCTGGTAGTTCATCGACTTCTCTTGCATATTTGCAGTTGTACGGTCTGTGTTAATTTTTGTAAACTGGCTTTTGCTTTGCTTTGCGAACACTGGCTGTAAACTCTTGCGGAAACTTCTGGTTGTTCATCCACTTCTTATGCATATTTGTTACCAAAAAAATTCGCAATGATAAGGAATTGATTTAATCCAACAAGATGAAACTGGACAAATTTGTTTGTGCTGTTTGTACCTTGAGGATACATATTTAGTAGTGCTATAAGTACTGTTAAGAAAACTACTCTGGGTGAAAAAAAAGTATTGCACATATCAATTTCATACTGATTGTGCTTGTTTACTAATTACTAAATAACAGTATAATTATATGTTGTAGTAGTCTACTAATAATAATAATAACATCAATCATTTATATTTATGTTATGTATGATATGTGTATGTTTCATAGCAGTATTTTTATGCGCTAAATTTGATAAAGTACAAATGTCACCCCTCCCTCCCCCCCCCCTCCCCGCTCCTCTGATGCAACAATACCCTCTCAGAATCAAGGAGTTAACACTGATATTTCTTTACTTTTGCTGGAACAAATTTTAGTTTACATCTAAACGTTATTGATGTTTATATTCATGTTGACTATAGCAAAAGCATTTTTGTTTGTCTGTAAAAGCCTTTATTTTTATATTTATTCGGCACACTTATTTACCTTAAAAATGACGTATAGTTCTATAAAATATGTAGAAAATTAATGAAACTGTAGTTTAATTTGTGTATACATCTCCTCGATAAAAACTGTTAACACAGAGGGACTCAATTCTTGCACAAGAACGGGAATCCCCGTTGACCCAGTTGGCCTATTTATATCTAGAGTTGGCCGTGCTCCTATAAAGGATGCGCAACTAACTAACTGTCTCCTCTAGATCGGTTTTGTTTTGTGTCTCTTCTATCATGCACAACGGTCTTGATTGTAGAAGCGTTTTCCTGATTAAGGGTTTTATGACCTAAGTGTGCCCCTTTCACCCTGTAGATACCTGTACTCGCAGGGCCAGACCAAGCTTTCAAGGAAGAACAGCTGGTGTGCTCCACTGCTCGCGAGATCGGACATTTACAGCCGTGGATCTCTCTGATCTAGGTGTTTCGGTTGGTAGCGAGTGAACAGTGCAGAGACACGGATAGAACATTACGGTCTGAGAAGAAAGGCGCTGCGAGAAGTTACCAAGGGATTTTGCCGATGCTAAATACTGAAGAGAAAAGCGAAATGGCTGTATAATCAGACAGTTACTGGTACCACTGAAACTGGAACTCTTCGCTTATTGCTAAAGATGGGGACAGAGTGCTTATGGGAGTGTCCCGAGTGCTGTGATGTCGATTCAAAATTCAACATTCTACATCAGATGCGTGTCGCTGTTGACGCATAACGCATTCACGTATGATCTTCTCTGTGTGGGTTCCAGGGCCCCATGTTAGTGACAAAATAATAGACTGCCCTCCTAATAAAAATCTCAAATGGGGTGAACACCTGAGATGTTTCCTTCAAATCTAGCTGAGAGGTGAGAACTAGCAGTCTGCATACAAATATGCCAGATAAAAAGGTAAAGACGGGATATGTGAACCAGCGTCATTGCACACGGTTATAAACCACAAGTGCTCTGCCACCAGTACGGACAGCTGATAAGAAACTGTCTGCCTGTGTCGCCGTTGTTTCATTCTTTACGTCCTTCTTAAGACGTAATTTTTTGTTATTTGAAGCCCCACTCTGGCTTTTGCCAGGGGCCGCAATATAGGCAGGCCATCAATATGGCCAATTGTCTGAACGCGGTTTCTGGGACCTCTCCACGGTGATCCTCATCCGCATGGTGGCACTTTGTGTCATCGGGTGTTTATCGCTTGTGTGATGTCCTGGTGGGGTAGAAAGTCAGTCAGTCAGTCTGTGTCGCCGTTCGCGACACTTCATGCCGATATATATATATATATATATATATATATATATATATATATATATATATATATATATATATATATATATATATATATATATATATAATACAAAAATATCTAAAACTACACTAAATCTTCATTAACACGAATTCCAAACGGGCCGAAAAATTAGGTTTTTACTACACAAATTTGTGCTAACTGAGTATTCAGATTAATACATCCTTGCAGGAACCACAATTGTGTTCATGTTATCCGAGTGTCAGTGTTCTTCTTAATCGAGTTCGTAACTAACGAGCTTTTACATTTACCTGGCAGGTTCTTTCCACATCCCGTCTCATTGACTCAGACATCTTTTTAAATTTCTCAGATAGTTTAGCTTCAATGTCCTTTTTTTCATCACTCATGATGCCCATTTGTTCATTTTGCTCTTGAATCACCTTTAGAGAAACAACATTATAAATATAATAGAAGTTAAAAGTTTGAACAACGGATAACACGGGTGCTATAAGTGCTCCGTTCTTCTTCTAACTCAAGTCTGAATCCGAAGAATCTCAGCGCAATCACAGGCTCTGTAGCACCGGCGAGGATTCTGAAATACTGTGGTAGATTTTTAACTCCAAATTTTGCCCGAACGGCGCCGCTAGGCTACTCATTTTGATTTTCAGCTGCCACGGGACTTTTTACGTGCGCATCAGTACACATGGGCGTCCGATCTTACTACACAGAGACCAGGGGAAATTACTAGAAGTCAGTCTTCTTCTTCTTCGTCTTCAGCATGTCGAGCCTTTGAGGTTCATTGCTGCAGATATCATCCGCCTTTATTCCTCTCTCTGGTTGGCCTTCTCTTTTCAGTTGGTGACACCAAGTGTTTGCAGGACTGTCTGGACATTATCTCGCCATCGTCTTCTTGGTCTGCCTCGTGGTTACTAGAAGTCCACGTAAAAAACATCCCAGCCCTTACCGGGGCTTTAACCCGAGACCTTCAGCACTCGAGGCGGACACCATACCTCGAGACCACTCAGCCCCCTGAACTCACCATGTATTTATGGGGTTCTACAGACATGCTAAATTATTGGACGTAAATTGCCTAGAGAAACCACACAACGGCCATGGGCTGCTGGGGTTGGTTCTGCAACGTCCTGTAAAGGATTCGCAACTAACCTAAGAGACAGGCTATACATCCACCCAGACTCTTGAGCAAATATTACTAGTAAATTTCCAGAATAGTCAGAGAATAAGAGACAGCGAGAAAGGAAAATAAACATCCAACCGCATACGCATTGAGAGAATAAAATAAACTAGAGAAAGGGCAAAAAGAAGCCCGGAGACTGACCCTTAGATTCGCAAGAGACAACACCTCATGTCACACAATGCTGTACATCCTCGTTCTTCCAGGCACAAGGTGGCATGGAGACGAAGGCGTACTTGAGTGTTGCTTCTGCTATATAGCACCCTCGGGACGTCTGACGACTAGTAAACAAGGGTAAGCGTCTGAAAAAGGTCCTAGGTGACTGCAGGAATCAGGGGACACCAGCAGCCAGATTGGCAATTGGAACATGTCAGGATTGGTGATGAATTGGTAGGTTAGTTAGTTTGGTATCCTTTACAGGACGTTGCAGAACCAACCCCATCAGCCCCTGGCTGTTGTGTGGTTTTTCTAGGCAAATTTACGTTCAGTAGTTTGCCATTACTTTCTGGACGGTTGGCTTTCTTGATACCACTGTCGAAACCAACACAAGGCACATGGCCTGCAGCTGGGATCGAACCCGGCATCCCGGCATTACGAAGCGCTCGCATCGACGTATCCACAGAGCCGACAATGAATTGGTAGAAGCACTAGAAATAAAAATGCTGGAGCACACTAAGGCAATATTCATCCTAGGAAAAAAATGCTTCTATGAAAACTTACACCAACATATCTGAGGCATTAAAGGTATATAAAACTATGAAATTGAATAACGTCTTCAGAAATAAATATGAGTGCGTTCCAAAACTAATTCCCTGATTTTTAGCAAACGGGAAAATTGACGTTTTTTTTTTTTTAGAAGCACAGCCGGGACTTGTGTGTGTGGCCGTTACAGGTGCCCTAATTATAACTTCTTTGCAGGTTGAACGGATTATCTGGGATCTGTTTAATTGGTCAGACGTCAAGACTGATATTCTTAAATTTTAGGATGATGTGGTAAACATTTTGGTGGCAATTCGGTGGTGATAAAGTGATGGATCAATCGAACGACGTCATGAAGTGATTTTGTATCGACCTTTTTGTTAAGGGGAGAGGGGAGGGTTTTTGTTTTTGTTTTAATCATTAACTATGGTTATGTTGAATCCCGGGCATTTTCTCAAAAAGAAGCAAAAGCGAAGTAAGGGAGCCTTTTCTACACCTTCGGGCATTTTGAGCACATAGGGTTTGACCTAAATTGAATAGACAATTTGGCACTTGAAAGATGACGTGGTTAACATCACGCTGGCTGCATTTACTTCCCAGGACTATACCTGGTACCCACTCTATGTCGAGCTGGCAGCCAGGGTCATGTTTGAAAAAAAAAACCTGTCTCTCTCGGCACCCGAACCCCCACACTTCCGATCCGCAGGCGAGTGTCTAGCCACTACATCACGGCGGCACCCCAACAAAGAAGCAAAGACAAGACATAATTGTCAAAATAGCAAACCTCAATGGCTTTGGCTAGTTCATCTTCCAGTGATGCTACTCGAACTTTCAGCTCTTCCATTTCTGATCTCAGCTGTTGAATCTCGTCATCTTGAAGGCTTTCGGTTGCATTGTCCTCCTCCGCTTTTGCTGGAGTTTTTCGCTGAGCTCGTTTCACCTGATAAACATTAGCAACTATAAACCTCTTTTAACTACAGTGAAAAGTCGAAACAATGCAATGGTATAGACATGTAATAAGATCTAACGGCCTCTCAAAAACAATACTGCAAGGCTCAGTAGAGGGAAAGAGGAGAAGAGGCAGACGAAGAAAGATCTGTTTACAGAACCTGACTGACTGGACAGGCCTAAGACATGCAACCATGAAGTCCATCACAACTGACCGCCAAAGGTGGAGAGAGCTGATCAGACAGTCATCAGAAACTGGTGACCTAACGACACATAGGATGATGATGATGATGATTCAGCGTCTGTGGCTTAGATGTTGTGAATGAGTTTCGTAATTTCAGGGTGTCGGGTTCGATCCCAACTGCGGGTGATTTGGCTTTGGGTTGGTTTTGACAGTAGTGTCGGGAGCCGACCATACATGGGAAATGGCAAACTCTGAACGTAAGACTAGAGGAAATCAGCCAAAAATCCCGGGGATGGTTCTGCAACATCGTGTAAAGGATAGGCGAGTAGCTTTTAACAATACCTGCAATAATGTGTACCATTGATGTTGTCTGCTGGGAGCAGCTCTTCTAGGATTGCAGGCCACATGATTAACAATCTAAGAATGAGAATCATACTGTATAAGTCCCATCAAGCACCGCGCAGCCGTAAGATTATTTTAGAAAACTGCTTTCTGTTCTGCCACTTAGGCACGTGTCCCTGTGATAGCTGCCACAACTGCTTTCTGTTCTGATACTCATACACGTATCCCTGCTTTCTGTTTCTTCTGATACTCATGCATACATAGCCGTGTTCTGATACTCATACACGTGTCTATGTGATAGCTGCCATCTCCGTTGTCATCTAAAGGTAGACTCTTCCCATTCACCTGCGTTGAATATGCCCACCTTGACTACAACCTACGAATAACTGCCCCATTTATATAGATGACGAGGTCTTCTGGTATCTATTAGGTTTTTCGATAATGTAGCTGTTGTGAGCTCTCTTGGTAATTCCGTAGTGCCAGGTTCGATTCCAGCGGCAGCCGAGTTCACAGCAGACATTCCAGCCAAGGATAAGTAAACACAAATCCGACGCTTTATTGATTCGAACCCAAGATCTGTGGGTCAGCAAGCAAACGTCTAGCCACTGCTCTACCGTAATTACCGTGCTTTATAGAACTGAGATCAAAAGGCGATGGCTGATGACAGAAATAAAGATCGAAAATCCTGTGAGTTATTAGATAATTAAAACCGATATCATAGCATGCTGGACATTTTCATAACCGCTCTGTCCCCATCTTCACCAGCAAGCGCAGAGTTCCAAACTAGATGGTATCGGTAGCAGACTGATTGCATATCCGTCTAGCCCAGTGGTTCTCAACCTGCCGGTCACGACCCTGTTTTTTGGGTCGAACGACCCTTCACAGGGGTCATCTAAGACCCTCCTTAAACACTTATTTATTGAAGTTATGAATGAAAATAATTGTTTGGGTTCGCTACAACATGAGGGAACTATATTAAATGGTGCCGGCATTAGGAAGGCTGAGAGCTACAGGTCTATCCCCTACACAGAGAGAGTTGAGCGTCAATCAGATCCCTTGTCACTCCTCGCTGCTTGCTCTCTTCGGGTTCTGGAACAGTATTGCAGTTCAGAAGTGGACGACCAACCAAAACTTTCCGCCGGAGTTACCAGCTGGTAAACGCGAAGAAGAAGAAGAAGAAGAAGAAGAAGAAGAAGAAGAAGAAGAAGAAGAAGAAGAAGAAGAAGAAGAAGAAGAAGAAGAAGAAGAAGAAGAAGAAGAAGAAGAAGAAGAAGAAGAAGAAGAAGAAGAAGAAGAAGAAGAAGAAGACTATTTACTCGCTCCCAAAGGGCATTGGTGACATTAGGCTTCTCGTGCCTCAATTTATAACCAAGCGGTGCAGAACCAGCCAATATTTCTACTTGTTCATTTCCCAACACACCTGCATTCTTGGAGAGAATATTCAAAGGACTTCAACTACCTGGAACCTCTGAAACGATCTTGGCATTCAACAATACTAGAAAAATAACTAAAGTTAATTCAGCACCTTTTTGTGAATCTTCTTAGCTTTGTCTTGTATCTGCTCGATCATATTTTTAAGATTTTCAACTTCCACTCCTTTATCTTGAATCAGTTTATCTTTCTCAGCTCCAACTCTCTTCAGCTGATTAATGTTTTCATCTTTGCTTTGTAAGGAGTGTGTCAGGTTGCTGATTTCGTTGTCTCTCTGCCGAAGCTCTGTGTTCTTGCTAGCTATAAGCTTGGCCTTTTCCTCATTGTAAGTTTTCTCGCTGATATCGATCTGTCGACGAATGGCTTGTATCTGCTTCAAGAGCATCTCATTCATCTCCCTGAAATTGAAATTAACTAATTAATTGATTAAGTGCCATTTATTATCTTAGCAGGATGAATGTGGCAGGGGCCAATCAGATCTAAATTGGGAACGGGACATAGCTGACTGACTGACTTTTCTATCCCACCAGGACATCATACAAGCGATAAACACCCGATGACACAATGTGTCACCATGTGGGTGAGGATCACCGCGGAGAGGTCACAGAAACCGCGTTCAGCCTTTAGGCCATATTTATTGCCAGGCTATATCGCGGCCCCTGGCAAGAGCCAGAGTAGGGCTTCAAATATAGAAAAATTTCATCCTAAAAGGGACGGGAAGTAGTATGCACTACAAGGGACATGACAGATACCCTGGGCAGGTAAAGGCACGAGGCTGCAGAGTTGGGGGATCGAGTTTGTTTCAGCTGGACTGTGATGCTAAGATGTTCTGTAAAGAACGGTCTACACAAGAGCTGCCAATGGGATTTTTAAAAATTAAAACCCAAGCTAAGCTGACTACACAAAGCAAAACAACAAGCAAACAAACAACCCAGCAATACATAAGAAAGAACCACAAAAAAAAAAAAAAAAAAAAAACAAGAATGATAAAAAATACACATTTTATAGTTAAGAAACGCAACATTTGCCAACTTTTAAATAGCAATATATATTTTTTTTTTAAATACCAAGATTCCAAAATCTGAACCCAAGAGGTCAAAAAACCAGATCTCGGGGAGAAACCCAGTTTTGGAAGTCCTGGTCTATGCAATGATGATGATAATTTATTTCTAACAATTGTTGTGTCTTTGGACTAGTATACTAAGAGGTCACCACACAAATGAAAAAATTTAGGAATACTAACAAAACACAAGGAGAACAAAATACGCTAGGTATTTACTGCCCCACAGCTGTAACTAGGTATTTACTGCCACACAGCTGTAACTAGGTATTTACTGCCACACAGCTGTAACTAGGTATTTACTGCCACACAGCTGTAACTAGGTATTTACTGCCACACAGCTGTAACTAGGTATTTACTGCCACACAGCTGTAACTAGGTATTTACTGCCACACAGCTGTAACTAGGTATTTACTGCCACACAGCTCTAGCTAGGTATTTACTGCCACACAGCTGTAACTAGGTATTTACTGCCACACAGCTGTAACTAGGTATTTACTGCCACACAGCTGTAACTAGGTATTTACTGCCACACAGCTGTAACTAGGTATTTACTGCCACACAGCTGTAACTAGGTATTGCTGTAGCACCTAGACGCCCTCCTGTGGATCGGAAAGTTGTGGGTTCTGGTCCTGACAGTACTAGACATTTGTCAAACAAGGACCTTTGCTCCCTGGTCGACCCAGCCTTGAATGGGTACCAGGTGGAGTCATGGGAAGTAAAGGCGGCCGGTGTGATGCTGACCCATCACCCACCAGGTGCTGATTGGTCTATAAATATAGGTCTAGTCCTATGTGCCTAATGCGTCTAAAAGTGTGGAATTATCCTTTTTACATAGAAGTATCTGAAAAAGGATAAGTCAAGAACTCCCATAACAAAATAACGGAAAAAAATTCATTCAATAAAACATGTTGCAAATTAATTAAACTAGTTCAAAATGTGTATAAATCCACTCAGTAACAATTATTACCACTGACCGGCCACACCAGCCTCACAAAAACGGGAATTCCCGTTTCAGCTGTATGTCCTTATATCTGGAGCTGGCCGTGGACAAATAGCACAGGTATGTATGGGCACCACAAAACGGTTACGAAGTAAATAACTTTTGGTCCAATATGTGTGGGTCTGACGATGTGATAATGATGATGAACGTATGAGGTATTAGGTACGCTTACTTGACCCCATCCAGGACTGTATAATCTTCGCTTCTCTCGGTCCCACTATCAGAGAAGATGCTACTGTCTGGTGACGGCGACCTCGATACTTGAGGGGAAAGACCTGTTCCTTTAACCACCAGCTCTTTATTGTCCTTGAATTAGAAAAAGATGCGTTGTCAGTTTAGAGTTTAAACGTTAATTAATTACGCTATACGTGATACAGCGACGTCTGTGGCTTAGGCGTTGCGAGTCTGACTCGTAATTCCAACACACCGCGATCGAAACCCACTGCTGGCTGCTTGGATTTTTATCATGGTATGGGGCGTCGCAGGTCGACCCAGCCTAAAATGGGTACCAGGATGTATGTCCTGGGGAAGTAAAGACGGCCGGCCTAATGCTAGCCGTATTACTCACCTAGTGCCGATTGGTCTGACAAAAATATGGGTGCTCTTCCCATATGCCCGATGCACCTAAAAGTGAGAAAAAGTGATCTTTACTATACGCGATACGGGAAAGTTGCTAACTTTATCCTAGAGCTAGGAAGTGCAGCCTGAAGCCTCACCGTTGTGACAAGGGCAAAGCAGGTCGTTATTCCTGGTTGGAAGCTGGTTTGGAATTGAAGATAAGGCTGATAAACAGAGCACTGCTCTACTGATCCGGCAGCTTCTGCTGCATGCTTTATTCTACACTTATTAGTGACATCTTTTATTTTGTAGTTAACAAAGTAGGCCAAGTGAGGGGTCACCCTGCGTTGGTGACACTGATTCTCTAATACTGCCCAGGCTGTTGTGATATGGAAATCTGGAGCTTCATTTCTTGTCCCTAATTGTTTTTGTGATGGACTGTGATCCCCTGCCTCCGTGTGACTATATGGTACACTCGTTTAAAAAGATGGAAATGTCGTAACGGACGATACACATTTCTTAACCTTTTCTCTTATATATTTTACAGCATTCACAAATGAAATACGCCAATTGTCATGTATTATTTTGAGGTTCTCCAACTGATTGATATGTCTGTACTGTTTGTAAAACCCAACTCGTAATCCAGCATTTATCTCACTCTTTAGTTTGAAAATATATTTTGTATATTAATTTTGAAGTGTGAAGTTGGAACAACGGATCAACATCATTGCACACGGGTATTAACCCATAAGTGCTCGATTCTTCTTCTAACTGAAGTCTGAGTCTGAAGAAGCTCAGCACAGGGCACAGGCTCTGTAGCACCAGCGAGGATCCTGAAATACTTTGGGTAAATTTGTAACTCCAAAATTTGCCCGCGCAGCGCCGTTAGGCTACTCTTTTCAATTTCCAACTGCGAAGGGATTTTCTTACGTGTGCAACAATGCACACGGGGGTCCGATCTCACTACCCAGAGACCAGAGAAAATACTAGAAGTCCCAGCCCTTACCGGGAATTTAACCAGGAACCTCTAGCACTCCAGGCGAACGCCATGCCTCGAGAGAACCTCTAGCACTCGAGGCGGACACCATGCCTCGAGACAACACAGCCTCCTCTTTTTTGTATATTAATGTAACGTTGCTAAGAGAGGCCAAGGCTGCTGGCTTGGATTCCATCCATGAAATGGTACTGATAGCACAGAACAGAACAGAGTTGATGAATAGAATTCGAGTCCTGTGTGATATATAACGGCACAAGAGGACAATGAAATGTATGAACATTCAAGGAGATTTCAAGAAACAGACTACTTACCGGCACACCAAGGTACTTGTTGGCCATGACTAACGTTGATATCACTGCTTTCAGCTAAGGTCAGCTTAGCCTTTACAATAATAAATGCAGAACTGGATGTTAGTATATTCAATTTGGCTGCTGACACATGAGCAAAACCTGGACACATATTCATTGGCGAGCTTGATCACACTGTTAACTGTTGTTGAGGTCTCTTCTGTTTTGAGGTCTCTTCTGTTTTGAGGTCTCTTCTGTTTTGACGTCTCTTCTGTTTTGAGGTCTCTTCTGTTTTGAGGTCTCTTCTGTTTTGAGGTCTCTTCTGTTTTGAGGTCTCTTCTGTTTTGACGTCTAGCTTTTTGACGTCTGTTCTGTTTTGAGGTCTCTTTATGTATCCCTTCTGTTTGGGATTAAAAATGCGTATTATTTCTGTTATTAAATTATTATTATTATTATTATTATTATTATTATTATTATTACTTTTTGGGCATGTGTGGGCTGAATAAAAATTAATATTTACATAAGTGTCATTCATTGTTCTGTTGTGCCATTATATGTCAAATAAGGTTTGGTCTTTTTCTCAGTTCTGTTTTATTCTTTGTAAATTGCTTCGATTCCCCGTGTGGGTTCCGGGGCCCTATTATGGGGAAAACAAGAATAGACCCACTGCCTACCCAAAAGCATGTCGTAAGAGTCGACTAATTGGGAGCTTTCTTCGAAGTCGGAGTGCATCTGCCTGAGAGGCAAGGAACCAACAGTCTGCACACAAATGAGTCAGATCTGTCAAACGGATACACACGCAACATTCTGGTTCTGAAACAGGACTGCAGTCCAGAAGTGGACGAACAACCAGAACTTTCCCAGATTTACAGCTTTTGAACGCAAAGAAGAAGAAGAAGAAGAAGAAGAAGAAGAAGAAGAAGAAGAAGAAGATCGCTTCGATATCATGAGTGGAATCCAGTCTAGCACCTTTAGATTCTCTCATCAACGTTCACCTTAGGGTTTTTCTTGGACGACCTCGTTTGCTGAATTCCTCTATTCCCCATTTCGCACGCCGGTCCCCTCCCAAACAGCTCCCACGAGGTGCTAGAGTGTCGTTCCAAGCCACTAGTTTTGGTGCAATTGACATATCTTAGCCAACATAATTGGTACAAAGACCACAATTATAACCAATACTGCTCGCAGTAGGTTGGAAGTGGTCGATGTTTTGTTTGTTTTTGTTTTGTTTTATTTAATTAGATGGACACATTCCCGTTTTGTGATTATCCCTTCGTCCTTTCTCAAAGTCTGTCCAATATAGCAACATCTTCTCTGTCTTACAATTGGTGATACCAGTAGTTGCAAGACATTTCTTCTTTTTCTTTACTTCACTTGAACTTCATCTGATTTTATGTTCATTATTTTCCACAGACATTGGTTTTCAAAGGCATTTAACTTCCCCCCACGTCTCTAGTGGTTCTACACCTTTCATTGGCCTATGTTAAAACCGAGATGATATTAAAACTGAAGATACATAACTAGTTCTATAACTATATAATTTCGAGTTCCCTATTTTGTCTAAGTTTTTAAAAGTGCATTTACGTAATTGTAAATAATTATTAAGCAAACAAACAATGAATAAAACCAAATATTGTATCTTACCTCTGTAAGCTGTACCCAACTAATATAACAAGACATACATTCAGCAGGTGTAGATAAGTCAGATCGATATTCAAGATATATCCTGGTTTGCGGAATTTGGCGAGCGTCCCATTTTAACCTTTAATGCAAGTAAGGGCTTTATGATCGTACTTCTCTGAAGGTTTAAGGATTCCATATCTACGCTTTCAGCAATGTTTGATTTATTGTGCTAACCCAATAATAAGAAGAACTCTCCAGGGGAGCATGTACAGCAGGAGTCCACCGATCACCAGAAGAAGATCCCTGGTCGACAAATTTTTCGGCCCTATAACCTCCTAGACAATTTCAGAGGGTGGACCGACCTAGATCATGACCCCTTGGCCTCGAAATTCTTCTTCTGCACCTTACAGGATGTTCTCGGACAGGGACAAGACGAAATGGTGACAATGCATCGGGTACTGTAAGATTCGAAGTTATATATATATATATATATATATATATATATATATATATATATATATAGAGAGAGAGAGAGAGAGAGAGAGAGAGAGAGAGAGAGTGAATAGAGAAACAGTGGCATATTCTGATCAGAGTCCGCCATTAACTGTCAGGCTTGGTCAGTTGATCTCTACATTTTGGCCTATTCAAAAAATCGCAAACGAAAACACACGACCAATTTGTTAAAAACAGTCAGCTTCATGACTTAGGAATTACATCTGACTGTTTTCTCCCTCTGGTGTTTCCTTAATTCAGCTTGTATTATAAAAATACCGATCATTGTCTCTGTAAATTTGTGATATAAATTGATCGACCTAATGGTACATACACTTTCTGCATGCTCAAGTTGCCCAGTGACGCACAACAGACCCCCCCCCCCCCCCCCCGCACCCTCCCCATAAAATTCAGATACAGTTTGCAGCAGAGGTCATAATTCACACAAAGCAGCAATGTCAATGCATATTTGGCACTCTGCCCTCCTCGCGATAATCGGAGCAGACAAGGATATCAACAACGTTATTACATAATCGAGTGCAGACTTGTCAAAGTCACCATAATATTGTGTCCCTCTGAGAAGCAAGTTTTGTTTGTATGTGTAGTAGTAGTAGCAATTATAAGTAAAGTAAAGATCCCTTTTCACGCCTTTAGGCTCATTGGCATGTGGGAAAAGCACCCATTTTTTTACAGACCAATCAGCGCTACGTGGATTTGTGGTCAGCATTACGCCGGTCGTCTTACACAGGACAGCTATCCTGGTACCCCTTTTAGGCTGGGTCGACCTGCGACGCCCCTTACCGTGATAAAAATCCACGCAGCCAGCAGTGGGTTTCGATCGCGGTACGTTGGAATTACGAGTCGAACTCGTAACGCCTAAGCCACGGACGCTGCAGTAGCAATAATAATAATATTAGTAATAATAATAAAACAATATTTGGTGTGCAAAAGGATATGAATGATACAGGTATGGAGGTAGATTCTTGGGAACAAAATGCCATGGAATGTGTTACATGGCCGGGGGAGACAGGAAGGGAATGGGAGTGAAGGAAAAACAATGTTAGCAGAAAGTTTGAATGCTGAGCGTCTGAAAAGAAGTATACTAAATATATGAGACAACAACAAATGTCCTGAAATCCCTTGCTGTAGTAGTGGAAGCACGAGCGGGTGTTGTTAGTCGCATTCGCCATCGAGATGGGCTGTGGTTTTAATGCCTTCCCATAGCATAATTTAGCAGTATGTTCTGGAAGGACGGAAAGTAGCCAAGAAAAAAAAATCGACTTGCCCCATGTGGGTTTCGGGGCCCCATTGTGCGGGAAAACAAGAATGCACCCACTGCCTCCTCAACAAGCGTGTCGTAGGAGTCGACTAATTGGGCGCCTCCTTCGAAATCGGAGTGCATCTGCCCGAGCAGCAAGGAACAACCAGCTGCAGACAAAAAAACCAATAACAGACTGTTAGTTCCTCTTGACAACAGAGATGAAATGCCTTAGAAGAGCTGCAGGAGTTTCAAGGAAAGACAGAATACGAAATCACGAAATCAGACGAATGCAAGGAATAAAGCCAGTCTTACAGGTCATCAAAGAACAACAAATGAAGTTGTTTGTACACCTAACAAGAATGCCTTGGTACTGTCTACTACAGCGAGCTACATTTAAACGTTACAGCGAGTATAGATCGAGGGAAAGACCTCGGGAAATATGGAGTGATGGCATTAAGAACAACCTCACAAAAATAAACATCAATTTTAATAGCACTCTTGACAGAGCTCATCAACGAACGTTACATCTCCCCCTGACACTTCTTCGAAGTACAAGGTGGATGAGAAGAAGAAGAGTTCCTTGTCTCTCGAGTAGGTGTACTCCGAACTCGAAAAAAAACGTCGCTCGTATCTTCGTCAACCACGCTCCAAGTGAGGAACCTGCTTCTATGATGACAGTGGAAAGATGTAGATACACCATTACCAGTTCGAACCATGGCCCCAGTGCCCCACCACATACGGTTTAGATCTTCGGCATCCCACCCCACATATACAAAAGGCTGCATCATCCTGTGGCAGGTCCTGTGCAGAACGTCGCTCTCATTGCGGTATGTCTGAAAGAAACTCAGTCTCTCACTAGATCTCCCGCTTCGTGCAGTTTCTCACCCAAGGTGTCACTTATATCATGTTTTCATCTTTGTGATAGTCGGCCCTTGCCTATCTTTCAGGGTACCACACCTTCTGCTATTATCTTTCTCAAGCAGCCTTGGCACTTGATATGGCCAACATATTTCTGTTTCCCAAACAGGATACTGTTACTGGCCAATTTTCCTCGATGTTCAAATCAGATAAAATGTAAGCATTTCTTTCCTTCTTTGTCTATAGTATTCTGAGAATCTGTATACAGCATTCCAATGTAAAAGCTCCATTCTACCCCTTAAGGGCAACATGCTACAGGAAATGGAAAAATATCCTTTATCTTTACATACGAGTACTTACTTTACGTTGATACCATTACAAGTTATTTGTTTTTAGCCCTAGCTTGGCTTGGGGGAAAACCGCAAATCAAAGACCAAAGGTAACTGTCACACCAAGACCTCCCTCGGAGATAGCGGTGTAAGTAACAAAGCGTGCATAGCAACGCAGCAGAAGGGAACGGTTCATCAGGTGACTCAGTGTGCCCAGTGCGTACTGGAAGCACGGAACAAACCGAGAATATGTTTTGTTAAAAATTTAAGTCAAAATGGATAATAGTCCAAATGCATTTTCCAAATTTAAGACTGTATGAGGAGGCAATCGGCGTGGAATATCTGCTAGAAGGATTCGAAGTCGTGAGTTCAACGGTGCTAGGTTTATTAAAAAAAGAGACCTTTGATACCAGGTCGTCCAAGTCTTAAATAAGTGTCAGGTAAATTCTTTGGAAGTAAAGGTGGCCCACGGATTTTGCCGGCATTACCCA